ATTTATGTGGTAACTATCATACATATATTGTATGTATGAAATAGCATTGTACAAATAAAATAGCACTATACATACAATTGACTAGGCCAACTCTACCTACCCTTGTTTAAGTTGGAATTTTATTTACAATATTTATGAAATTTGATAAGATTGATTATTTGCGAAAGAATGTATATGATTAGGATCAATTAAATCCACTTGTATTATAGGCTTGAATAATATTTAAGCTCTTAAAGTAAAACAGATTATTGGGTTTTAAGTATTGCCGTCGGCAATAAAATTAATATTTTGTTAATGTTATAAATAAATGCACAAATCCGATTAATAATTTGTTTGATTTTTTTGAAATTTTAATTTTTGTTTTGTTAAAACATGAATTCCTAAAGGCGAAACATCATACTTTTGTAGAGGGCGCAAAATGTAAATAGCAACTATTTTTTTAATTCTTTTTCAATTTAAAATTTTGTTTTATTGTTTCAATATTTTTTTATTTTACTTCAAAAGAATAAGAGGAAAACTGCACGGAAAATATTTTGTATCTATAATTTTTATTCTCTTTTCTTTCGTGTTTTATCTTATATTTTGAAGGTTATGTTGATTACAGATAACAAAGAATTAAATATTAAGCAGTTTGCTTATTTTTGAGTGAAATTTTAGAATTGATTTGTATGCAGAATTTTTTTTAATTCTTTTATTTATTCTATTAATTTTTTTTAATAGTTCTTTGTCTAGATCTAACACAGTTTAATTATTCATAAGTACATAATAAAATGTAAATAAAAATCATGCTCAGAGTTTTATAATCCTTATTTTGATAGACATTTTTAGATAAATTATACATTAAAAACTTTTAAATAACTCAATGACATTGATTTTAACACAATTTACATAAATTTTGTATTTTGTTTTAGTAAGTTAAGTTTTTAGTAAGAACACTTTTAAAACATTTATGATATTGCATGTTTTTGATTGCGATAGCAGCTAGTTAAATTAAACTTAATTTTAGCATTCTCCATTTCATATATTTTCAAAAAGCTTTGAATTATCATACTGCAACTCGTAAAGCTGCGACGAATAAACAAGACTAAATCAATTGAAAAATCGGACGTATAACAGGTATGTGCTTGTAAATATCGTACTGACTTTTTTTCACTGGCTTTGTATCTAAATTCAATTAGGATGCCAATGTAAAAAAAATAGTTACCTATTGATTTCAGAAGATAAAGAGAAAATACTCGATTTTAATTTCTCAGAGAATTTTGAGATTTTATTTACTAACACGATAACGCTTTTCTTTATTATATATTTCATCTATTGAAGTTTATTAAAAAAATATTATTGTTATTTAATAAAAGCAAAAAAATCAAAGTACTCTTAAGAACAGTTAATAATTTTACAATTCGCCAAAATATTAAACAAACACAACTATATTAATGAGCTTGTCAAATTCTAAATGAAGTATAGTATATCATAAGTATATCAAATATAGTGAGTAGGAGTATAAACTTTTAACCAAATATAATTTTTATATTATATACTTGATGTTAAATTATATAACAATGCCGAAAGTATCACATTAAATATACTCAAAGTAAACAAAATTATTTAAAAAACAATCTTTTTTGACATCGGTCATCGTCTTAACATAAATTTTAAATTATTACAGAATGAATTAATAAAATTGACAGTAATCGAATTTTGGATAACCTTGAAAGCGATACAAGTTCAATAATTGTAATTTTTTTTTTTAAAACTTATAAATATTTCTTTTTGATTTTTTTTGGGTAAATTTATTTCTGGTGTTACACAATTATTACAATTATTTTACAAAATTAGACTATAGAATTTTTATTATGAAGTAATTATTAAAAAATAATTATTTTAAGTATAAAATCAATGAACTTCCATTTAAAGATTTTTTTTACGATAACAATCCAATTATTTTGAATGACCTATATTTAAGTTGTAAGATTAAAAATTAAAAAAAAAAAAATAATTGATTTTTGTATTTGATTTTAATTAGATCTTAATAAAAATTTTAATTTATAAATTGTTAGTTATCAACAGAATTGACAATCTTTTTGACCTTTAATTATCTTCGTAATTTTAAATAGGTATTTAACATTTTTTATGTAGGTTTTTCTTTTTTTGAATTAAAATTAAATATTATAACCAGTAATGTACGTAGACGAAATAAAGAATAAAAAAGCTGAATTAGGATTAAGTTAAGGGAACTGACACTATAATTATATTGTGTAAGGGTATACATAAATAATTATAAATAAATTCTGACTAATGATACATTTCTTTAAGCATAAAACTAAGTTTTTTTGATGTTGCTTTTCCGGTTCTAACTTAATTTATTGTTCAAATTTAGAAGAGAAAAAGTAAGAAAAGAAATACCTTCATAATACGTAATAACAGTTCAAAAAAATATGAGAACCATCCCAAATGCTTGCGAAATGATCAAGAAGGCGTTTTTCAAATTTGAAATTGAGGGATTAAGACGCGGTTCAATAGTATTTTTTATATAATAATTGTAATTTCTGTAAAATAACAAAATTAAAAGTATATCTAACTCATTTAACTCAAGACAAATATAATTAATTTGAATTTTGTTTGATCTTTTAACTAACAAACTCTTGGTAGGTGCAATTTCTGCTCGTTTTTTTAATTAACTCAAAAATATTTTTCTAAAACTCTAAAGCCAAAGTTTTTTGCATATTAAATTCATTAAAATCTTTAAATATTTTTTAATTCATTTTTAACAAAGTAGTTTTTAATTGTTTCAGTTTATAAAACTATTAATTATAACAATAAAATTTAATATTTTTATAGAAATAATCTCCTCTACAAATTACTAATGATTATTTGAATGAAGTAATTTGAATATTTCTCATTTAAATATTCTATTTCAAATATAATTTCGTATTTTAATTTGAAAAAAAATTTATTGCTAAAATGTAACAAATAAAAAGTTTTCTTTAAATTAAAATTTAAATAACTTTTACTACCGTTATTAAATAAGAGTTTTATTGGTTAGGTAATTATTAAAATCAATTAAAATCTAATAAACCTAATTTTAAAAATTTTATTTGGAATTTCAAATAGAATAATTATTTAACATTTTATTTTGCAATATCCTTTCGTTATTTTTTTTATTATCTCTAATAATAATTAATAGACTGTATTCAATTAGGGAGTTCAAAGTGTCTAGTAACTACTCCATTTATGATTTTTCTTCAATTTCAATCAAATACTTAAAATAATAATCAATTGAGTGTACTAAAAACTAAAACGAAATTAAGTATTCAGTATATTTTAAGAGTTGTAAAATAATTAAAATTTTAAAAAATTGAGTAAATTATTTTGTCACAATTATATCACACAATTATTTTAGTGCCATAAATTCCGTATAATGTTTTTGTAAAATTTTGTAATTGCAACTGTCTTTTAAATTAAAGCTTTTCAAAATTTTTCTACTAATTTAAGTTATTTGATAACTTATTCAATTCTCGTATAATAAAATCAAAATAATTCGTTTGCTATACAATCTATATTATTTTATAATTTTATCGTCGAATAAAAATTATTTAAAATATGCACGTTACGTTTCAGAAATTGCAATGCAATAAAAATTTTCGTTTATTTAATAAATGAATTTGTTATGTATGTATATATTTAATTGCATTAAAATACTGAATTACAAATGAATTTTGAAAATTCTGCATTGTTGATTAAAAACTAAAAATTTAAAGGAGGAAATTAATAAAATTTATTAAAAAATATGTTGATATATTTTTATTAAAATGGTTGTACACAAGTCTACACAAGTTATGAATTTGTATAAGGTAATCGCAAAATTAATAGATTTCCTATTGGATTCTGCGGAAAAATTTTCATAAAATATAGAAATTGTTGAAGTTTTGGAAATTGTTGCACCAAAGTTTTTCCCTGTGCAAGCATGAATTTTTATTCCTTCGTAAGCTAGTTTTAAATTATTAATATTTTTTTAAAATTTTCCAAACTAAGTTATATAAGAAATTTGATAGAAACGTTATTTGGATACAATTTTTTTTTAAATGTCTTTTATATGGCTTAAATTGCTACACAAAATTTGAAATCTAGTCAAATGAGTAATAACATGTAAAGGACTAAATGAATTTTACATCGACAATTGACTTAAAATTACAAATTCAATTTGGAATCTTATTAATAGAAGTTTTTGATGCGACACAAATGTGAAAGATACTTTTTTGCATAAATTGTCATTATATTACGAGTATGCTTATAAAATGCGAGAGCCTGTGTGCAATATTTTTAAAATTATTCTTGTAATTTCTAAAACTTTTCAAATAAGTTCTATAAAATTAGAAAACAAAAGAGTTTTTGCAAAAAGGAAAGATTATTGTAATTTAACTTTTCACTTAATTCAACCGGATTTTATTATTATTAAGTATGTATGCTGATATTAATAAATTTTATGTTGCCATGAGATAAAAAACCTTTAATTCACAAGTCAATTCCAAACTTGTAATTGGTTCCAATAGTGGATCTAAATTAGAAATTTTTAAATAAAAATAATTCTACTATTATAAGCAGAAACTGTCTAAGTCGAGTTTTTCAGTTTTCTTTTATATTTCAAGTTCGAATTTTTTATGATTATATCTATATACGTTTCTTAACAATTTTGATCAGTTCATCTTAGTTTACTCCGAAATATTAAAAAGCTAAAATGCGAACTTAATACAATTTCAATAATCAAAATACAATTTTGAGCCAAATTAAAAGGTAATATTTTTTTAAGATTTTAAAACCTATAAGGTATCAATCAATTATACACTATAAAGTACCAATCAATTTTTCAAACAAAATACTTGTTCCTTATGCTGATAATTTTCTAGCAATCTCAACAATTGCAAATTCACCAATATTATTTTTATTACATTATAAATTGTACAGCCTTTACGTAAATGTAAGGTATTATATAATTCACTCACCATCTCTCCATCTTGGCACAGTTACAAATAATTTATTTTGATAATGTTCAACACCAACTGGTAAAGCATTTTGTGGTATATAATCTTTATTTTGTATTGCTTGTTGTTTTAATTGTGGATTAGGAAATGCAAAATCCAATTGATTCCAACTATAACGTTCCTGTAATTTATATGCTGCTTCACCATTATTCAAAAACAACATGAACACCGTTAAAAGGGTTAATAAATCCTTGTATAAATTCATTTTTTAATTTTTTTGTTATTATAAAACTTGGTATAATTGTCCTTTTTTTTCTACAATGAATAAAAAAACAATTATAAACACTATAATTTATTTCACAATATTCAATAGAAAATTTAATTGCAGTTCAAGTTTATCAATATTATTAAAATAAGTTTGAAAACAGAACCTACGTTTAAAATATTTCACAGTCTATTAAGTTTTTCCAAGTAAAAAACAATAAGTAATTATTTTAATAATTTTTCTTTTACTTTGATTATACAAAATATTTAATAAATATTTCAAACTTTAAAGGTTTTATTTTATTAACTATTTTCTTTAATATTTTTAAATAATTTTTTAATTAATTTGTAACTAATATTTTTATCCCGAAATAAATTCAATTATAACGGTTAAATGTAGAATACAAACTGTTACCTGTGCATAATTTTTATCTAGTTTTATTAACTCCCCACTGTCTAACTATGCAAGTAGTAAGAATAATGAAAAAAAGTAAGTAGATAGAAATAAAGTGAATCAGCACAAAAAATAAGGTCTGGTGAATTTTTCCAAAAACAAGTACATAAATACATATGTATGTGCGTGTGCAGCAACATTAATATAACAAGAAAAGTAAATTGTACCTACATACAGGAAAATGGCAAGTACGTGAAAATGTTCACAAAAAAGAAAAGTTTAAAACTATACATAGAGAAAATTTAAATTAAAAATCAGAAAAAAATGAAGCAAGTACCTTTTCAATGTAGTTGTAATATAATAAAAACTTACCGTTAATAAACTACAGAGCGACACGCAAAAACTGCATGAAATGATTTAAGAGTAAATTTATTTTATTTTGTCGCTTTGTAGTTTTATATTAGTATAGGATTAAAAATTGCAGTGTAAATTGTAATCTAGAATTTGACGCAGGTATGCAGATGCAGTGCAAGAGGTGATTGCAAAATATGAAAATAATTTGCGGTTGTGGTTGCAGTATTAAGTTCCATGAAATTTTATTTGATTTTATATTTTTTGTATTTTTGTTTTTTTAGTTGGAATTACTGTAATAATTAACAAAAATATAAGCTTGTTTGAATGAAGTAATTATGAAAAGAATTCTACGCAATGTACCTAGTATGTACATATGTATATGGAATTGATATCAAATTCATTTTAATAATAAAAACAAAAATAAACAAATTAAAAATTTTTTTGCAGAGGTGGTGGTTATAATACCGTTAAAATTATTTAAAATATGAATTTTCTTTTTCTATTTTTTACTATATGCAACTAATTGAAATTGAATTAGGTAAAGGTAAATTGTTTTCTTGTTGTTTTTTCAATCATAATTTTATTTCAAGCATAAACATACATATATATATATGTACTTATATTACACGCTTATTTACTTTTAGTTTTAAAATTTAAACTTTAGTGAAAATTAATAACAATTTTAAAAGATTTTGTTTTTGTTGTTTTTTAAAATTTATGTATGTCACATGTGTTATAATTTTAATAGCAAATTGGAAAATAAACTGCAAATTTTATTAAAATATTATAAATGGCTATTAAAAATGGCTGGTATTTTTGCAAACGGATGAAGCTGAAAAAGTTTTTAAATGCGCAACTATGCATACATATATTAAAATTTTAATTAATTTATTTGTACGTATAGAAATATATAGAACTGAATGCGTTTAGACATACGCAATAATATGTAAATGCGTGCGTATTTGATTATATTTGCTTTACATTTAAGATAGTTGTTTTTAATGGAAGATTGTTGTTTTTTACGACCTGGTTTAATTATGCACGCTTAGTTTTTGTTTTTTTTTTGGTATATTTTTGTTTTAGATTTAAGAAAAAAAAATTAGTTTAAATAAATTTCAAATAAGTTGCGTAACAATTTTTTAAATACAAATATGATTGCCATTAATAATTATATCTTATTTCACCTTGATGATCTCAAGTTTATTTTAATTTCTTTATCATCCATATTTTCATAAAAAAGAAGTTTCTTGTTTTACCGGTATAGATTCTATTGGAGAATATGTACAATTCAAGATTTTTTTATATTATATAGAATCCTTCACTAACATTAGTTATAAGTAAAATAGTTAGTATCGTAATTATATATACATATGTAGTATTGGTATAGTTATTTCGAGCATTTAATGATTTAAGGAATCTTGTGGAAAAAGGTATTATCGGTATCATTATATTGAGAACAGGTTAAAATAAGGTTTTAACAAAATGTAAATAGACTTACGTTCGATACAGCGGAATTAGTAAGAAACCTACATGTTTTTTGCTATTTAAATTGTGTATTAAAACGTGAATACAACTTAACACGTATGTACGAATTGAAATCTTTTGAGATTTTCAAGTTTCGAACCTTCAAAAGTATTGTATCAAGAAAATACTATTGAACTGTTGAAAAATATATAGTGGTTATTAAATATTCGGAATAATTTTTTTTTTCATTCGAGATATAAATATAGACTTTCCATTTTGATTGAGTTTATGAAATTTTTAGAATTTACTAAAATAAAATTTTTGTGTATGACCGATGCATTATCATCGTTCAAATCTGGGTATTACATTATGTTTCGCCTAGAACTAGCACCGTAATCCTTTTACAGAGTCATTTTTTCATTTTTTCTTAACAAAATAAATTATTGTAACATTCTTATTTTAAATAAAGTACAAGTCAAAGTATAAAGTATAATTTTTAAGTTGTCATATAAATACAGTTTTCAATGTATGTATATCACTTAAACCGGTAATTACCTATCTTTAACCATTAGCAATTCTTGGACAACATGCTTCATAGAAAACATTATAGACACAGCCTTCCATTAACATCAAAATTACACTAAAACGCTTTCATATGAACCGAGTTTTTGTACCTAAAAAAGATGTTCGTTATTAAATTATAAATGTATATATGTATTTTTAAATTTATTAATGAAATCATTACAATTATTGCATTTTTTCTGCAATTGTTTGTAAATATGTATTTATTATGAAACATACTAAATATCTAAGCAAGCAAAATCCAGTTTAATTAAATTGAAAATAATAAAAAAAAAAGTAAAGAATGCATTTTACTCAACACCAATTAAGGTGTAAAAATTTTTAACTTCATAACTTTGGTTTAATATCAACTGTTATAAATATTGCCGTTTTAAACACACACAATAGTGTTACAAAATAATGTTTTTTGTAGGAACTTCAAAACACCTCTTTCAAATATGTATAGTTGTGTGTATATGTGTGTGGAGATGAAATCGTGATCGAATTTCCGATTTATTTGATGTTTTTGTTGATTTGTGATGTAAACATTAAAACAATTCCATAAAATTAAAGAAAAGAAATTAAAATGAAGAAAAAAAAACATGACAGTTAGAGAATTGGAGTGAAAAGAGTATTTTTAATTTTAAAACTATTTTATTTTAAGAGAATCTACTTTTTTCTTATTTTACTTTTCAAAAAAAAATATTTTTTTTAATTAGTCCCACATAAATAATGCATAAAAAAAATATTTTTTTTTTATAAACCACTTAACGTTATGCAACTTAATAAAAAAAAAAGTCGATAACATTTCTGTGCGTTTCCCCCTTTCCTAACTCATTAGTTCACACTCAAAACATACTATTTTTGATTGATATGTAAGTAAAATAATTACTTATAAACTGTAATATTGATTATTATTATTGACTTTTACATTATACAATTACTTTGATTTTAGTCTGATTTAGTTCGAGTTGCATTTATGTATAAATGTATGTACTAACTCGCATGACGATTGTTTATCTTAAGTTTTTGTATTAATTAAAATTTTTCTTTTAATTTTATCGTTACAATCCAATTTTAATTAATATTAAATTAATCAAAATGTTTTGCACTAAATAAATATTGAATTTATTTTATTAATATATGATTTTTTTTTTTGAATTTGCGAAACTACATTGTAATTTATTAATTATTAAGACAATAAATTTGAATAAAAAATTTATTATACTTGAACTTGTAGAGATTTCAACGGGTTTCAAAACTTCAGCCTTTTAATTTGGAAATTTTATAATTATCATTACTTTGGACAATAATTCTTTTTGAATTCGGAAAAAATACCAAATTTATGTTGTATAAACAGTTGTCATTAATTACAGATCCTAGGAATTGTGAGCATTATAAATAGGTCAAAGTTAGTCACTTAATCTTAGCTTCTTCTATATATATGTATCTACAAGCACATTATTAATTTTAAGAAAAATACAAGCATTTCTATTTATTATTACCGAAATTATCAAGTCGAAAAACTGCCGACGGACCTGCAGGGTTGTCCACTCATATGTTGTATAGATAATGTGTGTAGATATGGTATGTATTATTAGATATTTCTAAAATTTGTTCAATCCAACAAATATTTAGAAAGAAAGTATAGTTATGTGTACATGCGTGCATAAATCTCATATTATAATTATTTGTAAGAACTTAAATACGTATATTTCCGTTTTAAAAATCAAATTCATGTTTTTTTTCAAAACAACCTTTTTCAACAGACCAAATCTCTATTGAATTGTTTAAATGACCATTTTATTCTAGAATAAATACGTAAATGGAAATCACATGCACGTAATACTCGTAGTACCAAAATTTTATTTCTACTTCTACCAATTTTATAATACCGAAATAAAGGGTTAAAGTGTCAATATATTCAAAATTATTATCTAAATATATTATGCACATTTTATAAATTATATGATTTTAATTGCTTCACATGATTTGACACAGGATATTCCCGGCGGAATATTCACCAAACAATAGAAATTTTCTATTTTTAATTAATATGCTTGAATTCTAACTATAATTTAAAATGAACAATTACTTCATTTAACATTCTTAATATATGATTTAAGATTTTGAATACCTGAAAAATAATAACAAAATAAAAATTATAATATTTCTTTTTTTTTGCACTCATTTAAATTTAAAAAATAAAAATCAAAAATCATCATACAGTTGATTTGATTTTTAGTTCAAGATAACTTTTTTAACTATATAAATTCCAATCCGAATGGTTAGATTAGAAGAAAAATTAAAAAAAAAGAAAAAGCTTAAGTAGCAAAAATCAGAATAAAAAATTTATTTTTTTTTCTATCAAAATACATATATTTAGAGTTCAGTACCCATATGTATGTAAAAATGCAAATTTTTCGCCTACTTGCTTAGTCTTTACTTGGCAGTAAAGATTTCAACACTTATTTTAATTTTTTTTCGAAAAATTGAAAATGCATTCGAGAGACAATGAATTGCCAGAACGATATTTTTGTTGGCCAT